CACAGGGCCAGAGCTATTAATAAAAATGCTGGTACCAGACTCAAGCACTGGCTCCTGAACTGCTAATTGTGTGCTCAGTCCCTGCATAGGGGCCTGAGCCCTGAACTATCAATTGGGTGCTTAGCCCCTACCCAAAGGTCGGGGCCCTAACTGTTATTCGCTTTGTAGCGGGGCGGCCTGGCTTTCAGGCGCCCCAGGAAGGGACGAGCCCCACCCCGGACCTACTACAACAAGACTTGGGGTAAGAATAGTTTGGGGTTGTTTTTTGTGGAGTTTCCTGGAGAGGAGAGCAAAGGAACACTGATTATTCTGGAGATTTGATTTAAAAACGGAGGATACATTTGAATTAATAAAAACCTACAGCAGTTCAATGAGTATCTTTGGCATCATTAATCTGTATTTTAAAAGGGATAATAAGTACTTCAAGATAGAAACTTCCAAATAGAAATCTCAACAGGCTCTTGCTTGCAACAGCAAAATCCACAAAGCTGAATATAACTGTAGCGAGAGGAATCTGGGATCACGAGAGAAGTTTAGTGCAATCATATGAGGTTTCCCTCAATTTTTCCATTTTCTTCCAATATCGTGTTCACTGTCTGATGAACAAATTAGTAATCAGCACTGCCAGAATGATAGGCATCTTTCCTGCAAAAGCAAAATAAAGGAAGTTATAACCAAAGTAAAAATGCATAATATCTTGACTTCACTCCAGATGTTTAGGATAATGAGTTTTTTCATTTTATGTTCTGTCTGAAAGATTTGTTTTGTTTATTTTAGAGTTACATTAACACAATTATAAACTAATTTCCAATTAAAGCACAGTTCGTGCTGTTTCTTCTCAGAGGCCACGTCCAAAACAGAAAAAAAATAATGAGTAGAATTAATCTGTAATCAAAGTTGGCAAACAGTTGTAAGTTAGCTATTACATAGCCTAAATACAGGAGAACTGGACTAGCTATGCTCCCTCCCCCTAACGCTCAACTGTTTAGAGCACTGGAAAGGTGAGGGAGTCATTTATAACATAACACTGTTTTAGGACACATTAGTTTCTTCCACTGACTAATCACATTCAACTGTACACCAAGAATACCACCTAGAGTCCTGTTGAAGAGTCAACAGAATGTTTGTAGCATTGTCAGGGCCCTGGGTTTCACAGTGAACCCACTATGAAACACACCACCACCACCTGAGCTCTTCAGTAGAGATTTGTTTAGCATCTTCTACCTGCTGGAAAGCTCCACATATACAATTATATCAGCTAAAAGTTGTAATATAAAGTCTGTATACTACTACTCCTCTACTGAATGAAGTCTCAGATTTAAGGATATAATTGCAACCTTACACCAGAAATGAAAATCCAACATGGGCTTTGTAGCATTAATATTCTTCTGGAGAAAATATTTGTTCTTATATTATCAAAATGGTAATATACTGAAATAACGTTTATATGTGAAGACAGAGCCGTTAATGACAAGTTACATCACAAGGACATAAGGCACACAATGCATTCATAACTGCTGTAGTTGACAAAATGGTTACATAGAAATGGAGAATTTAGTGAATATTCACATAAGTGTCATATTCAACATATCTGTTTAGGCCACGGAAGAAAGGTAACCTAAGAAAGTAATTTATAATCTCAATTTGATATGCTGCATTATGTTCTTGCAGATAATGGTTCATCAGAACCTCACCATCTTTTCACATTGACGTAAATATTTTCTATAAAAATACCTTTCAAGACCCAAGTTAGTTTTTTTTTCACGTTCCTGTAGATCACTGAAGCGCTGATTTGCATCATATGGGCTGAACAGCAGGAAAGGAGAGAAACTAATTCAATAAAATAGGACTCCAGAATTCAAGAGTAAAAATCAAAGTTGCTTTTGCTTCTTTAAAGGAGGCTTTTTATATAATTAGAATGCCAAAGACAACTGAATATTAGGAAAATTTTTGATGGCAATGTTTTTTTTTTGGGGGGGGTAGGGGGGGGAGGAAGTAGTGGAAGCCCTATTACCTGTAACTTTTAAAACTAGCATGGACTAAAATGGTAGAGAACAATCCT